CCCCCAATCCCCGCCCAGTGAGGGGCGCTTCTCTAAAGCGCGAGCTTACAGTGATGGTAAGTTTTCATGGCCACTCCCCACCACCCTACCCCACTCTCCGTCAGGGAGGGAGCCACACCATCCACCACTCTATCAACCCTCCACCACCCCTTCATGTCATCTGTCGGCCCAAAATACACTCCAGCGAGGAGAACAAACAGCGGGAGAAGACCAGAAGGGGGAGAGGGGCGGGGGGTGAAGAAGAAAGCGGAGAACCCGTCAAAAGCGGTCAATGGCGGCATCGTGTGTCCCGCGAGGAGGGGCGGGGGGAGGAGAGAAGCCACAAAGTAACGAGTCTTACAAGCTCAATTCCACTAAAATCAATACAAACCATTCAGAATTTACTTTGTTTTGATTTGTTTTCGCAACCTACACCTTAGTGTTCTCAAAGCATTCCGGAATGCGGGGGACAAGAAAACAGAAGTCACCTGTTCAAGCATGGTGATTTCCGTTTCGTTGTTCCCCGCATTCTTCTTTCTTATCAGCTTTCCTGGATTGCTTTATTGCGAAGAAATTGGCCAGTAACGCCAGTAAACGAAAGTACGAGTTACATTCCTTAGGACCCCTCTCTCTCGGGGGATCTTTCCGCGGACGGCTGCCCAGGCGTCCACAGCCAGGGGGCCCACGCAAGCAGCCGTGCCTGCCTCCCCATGGCATCCACGTGGGCGGGCAGCGCGGGGGGGGGGGGGGGCATGGGCCGGGCGCGGGCCGCATCCCCGGGGGCCGTACGCCTCGCGCTACGCCTCGGGCTACGCGGGGGAATCACGCCGTGGGCGTTTGGTGGCGGAGACACTCGTTCGGCCCGTTCCCGTACGGGCGTCCAGAGATGGCGCGTTCGGCTCGGCTCGTGTAACTTCGGTCCCCCAGCGAACGCTCGGCACCGGAAGAGAAAGGGGGTGAGGGGCAAGATACGGCGCGGGGGGAGGGGGTGGGCAAAAGAGAAGGGGAGCCCGGCGCCCGGCTCGGGCTCGGAGGCAGGCAGTGTGACCAGGGGGTTGTGCCGGAGCGGAGCGTCGGCCGAGCCCCCCGAGAGCACCGCCCAGCCCAGCCCAGCCCAGCGGACTGCAGCCCCGGGTCGGCCAGGCGCACACGGGGCGGAGCACTGGGAGCACCGCGCAGCGCGTCCGAGAGGACCCCGACGAGCCCAGGGCCCCGCGGGGCCCCGCGCCGCAAGCACGTCTCCATCGTGGACCGTGGAGCCGTGGATGAGGGTCCACCAGAGCCACAGCGATGGAGGTGAGGCCTGGGCGGGCAGGTCCGCCACCCCCGGTTGAAGGGGGGGGGGGGGCGGTGAGGAGGCGTAAGCGCGCGAGTCACCGCTCGCTGGGTTAGCCCCGCTAGCAACGAGGGTAGAACAACGCGCTCATCGTTGCCCCCAGACGAAAAAGAGGGAGTTAGTCGGTAACAAAGTTTGGCAGGGATGGGGTGGTACAGTGGCAATCAACAGTCAATCAACAGAGTGAACGACCCCTGGACTTAGCGGAGGGGAATGGAGAGTATACCATGACTGCAGAGAGGGAACCAATAGGGTATTCCGCTGCAGGAAAACAGGAAGCTAGACTAGAAGAGCATGACAGCTCGATCTGTTTCCTCTTGCGCACTCATTGGCTGATTGACACACCGACGTCATCGTCGACTAATCCGCGTTAAGCTAGAAAACAGATCAGGCAGCCATGCTTTTCTTCTTTAGGTTCCGATTGCCTTGCAGCAGAATAGTGTATTTCGGCTAACGGAGGAAGAAGAAGAGCGGATAGAACAGGAACGTTTGCGATTGGTCGAGAGATTCCCGCCTCTACGTCACGCCGTAAGTAGGGGAACAGGCTCGACCAATCACGAACCTTTATGTTCTACCCGCTCTTCTTCTTCCTCCGTTAGTCGAAATACACTATAGGCCTACACTATACCCACGGTCATTTTTCTCCGATTACAGGCCCACTGATGTCCCGGTCCGAGGCTGGCGGCGGCCGGGGCTCCCTGGCCGGCACCCTGGGCGGCGTGCACGTGCACGTCTCCGGGGACAGCCTCAAGAGCCTCAAGAACATCAGGACATGGCTGAGCCGGAACATGCTGCTACTAGCCACCCTGATCGGCGTGGCGTTCGGCGTATTCCTGGGTGAGTATGCGACATTCTCAAGGTTCTCCCCTAAATGCGGGCCGGGCTCGGCCCTGCTCGACGTGGCGCGAGGACTTTCAGGCTTTCAGCCCTGAAGGGCTCAAAGGGGGTTTGCTTTCAGTGTGAGCGGAAGCCTAGCCCCCTTCAGAAGGTCAAACGACGCCGTCTGCTTGCACAGTGCAGAGCAGCGTAAAGAGGGGAGAGGAGGGCCGAGAGGGAAGGGACACTCAGACTCTTCATGGGCTTCAGGAATCGATTGTGCTCCGCAACGGCGGTGGTTCAGTGCGAAACAAAGGGACTGTGATAGAGCCAGGCAATCGACTGTTCTGGCTCTGGAAAAGAAGATGGAGTCGGAACCAATTATTGTTTCTATAATAAATGAAACAAGAAGGACGAAAATTCCTTTACAAGGTCCCTCATGTTTGAACAGAGGGCCAGACGGCTCGCGGCCCCCTGAAGAGTTCAATGGGCAAAATCGATCTGTGTGAGCTTGAGGCCTGAACCGGAAATGCTCTGCTGCACGGAAGTGTAGTTTGCGTTTGCGGGGGAGCGTGCTGCCGTCCCTGCGGACGCGGCCTTAGTTGTTGGAAAGGGCGTTTCCTCCTGCTACCAAGAGGGCGCCAATTTCAAAAGTGCGTTTTAAAAATTTACGGCACCTTTACGACCACTGAATTGCCATGCCATATTACTTACACCGATTTAACTCTTCTGTCGCTGCTGCTTCTACAGCTCACTACCTCAGATCCCCATCTGATAATAAAGCATTCCGGTGAGGCGGAAATGCAGATGAATGAGGGGAAGACGATAACGGAAATCGCTATGCTTTAACATGGTGACTTCCGTTTTCTTGTTCCCTGCATTCTTCTGCATTTCAGCTTTACCGGAATGCTTTATTGGGTATTTCACCAGACGCAATCGGGATCCAAAGAAAAACAGCAGCTCTTCCTGAACCCTTTCTTCCTTGGCGCTTGGACTGGTGAAGGTGAAATACCCTATCGACCATTTCACCCGAGCGCTTTTCGACATCTCGAAGAACAAAAAGACCGGAAGTCAGGCAGTACCTCGGGCAGTACATATGGAGACGTTCTTGGCCATGGAATACGTTAGATTGAAGCAATTTGTGCCTTAACAATAAATTTTTGACTATAAATTTAGGTCGGAGAAGAGTAAATTGACGACCAACCTTTTTGTTATGAGTAACACATAACCCTAATTTGTGGTATTTTTGTTCTTCGAGTTGCGCATGAGTGAAATGGTCTATAAGGTTAACCCACACGTACCAAAGATGAAGAAGGTTTCTCAATGTTTAATATTGCGGAAACTTGAAGGAGTTTCAAAGGTAAAGCCCTTCTCATGTCAAACGTACCATGCATGCGCCGCAGTTCACCCTTCTTCAATATTTACCGATGTTGGGGGCATTTATTCCTGCGCCGATGCCACGCGCCTCCGCGGCGAGCCTCGAGGGTGCCTCCAGCGTGCCTCCGCGGTGCCATGACCCGGCGTGACGTAGGCTAGAGTAGTCATTGGCTTGTAATGAGGACCTCTTTCGAACGAGCTGCGCGGGAGAGCGGGGGGAGGGGGAGGGGGGGAGACGCAGAGAACGGTCGTTACGCGGAGAGACGTTGAGGAAGGAGACGACGCGGGGGGACAACACACTTGTGGAAATCAATACGGTGCGCTCACTCTGCCTGCCTCACCTATGAAAGCCTACGTGAGTGTGTGAGTGTGTTTGTGATCCCGTCACGATCATCTCGGGAGGGGAGGGGGAGCCCGCGGCGCGGCAGCAGGGGTTGAAGGCAGAGGGGCTCGCATGTTGAGGCGAGTGGACGCCGCCAGGGCACGTCACGGGTCGTTCACCATCCGGCAGGAGGAGGGGCGGCGGGCAGGGGCGGCGAACGGCAAACAAAAACAAAATGTTTACATTCGGGCGCACCGCGGCGACGCGTCTCGGCCGGCTGCTGCTGCTGCCTCGTCTCGCGGTGACGTTTTCTTTAGTTTTTGTTTGTTTTTAAGGGGAAAGCAAAACCCAGGAGAGCGGCCATGTTGGCAAGCAGTCTAGGGTGGGTCGGGGTAGCGCGGCACTAGCACTACCCGCCGTTGCAAACCTGGCGGCGGACCAACCCAAAGAGGGGTTGGGCTGGGCGGGAACCGTGTGAAAATGCACTCGTTGGAAAAGGAGTTCCGCCGAAGGGTTTTGGCTCATCGTCACTGCAATCAGTGCCCTTTTACCCCAGTGGTTTCCGATTGTCGTTCGCACCCGGCGATGATGCAAAACGAAAGAAATTTCACACCCGGGCGCTAAAGTGTAACACGGCCCTAGTCCTAGTCCCTGTCTCTTCCCATCAGGTGGACGTATATTGGTTCGACCCAGCCCTCCCCACGCGAGTGACTTGGTTTCCGAAGCCAGACGGACAGTCTGGCGTCATACAGGCGGTGTCGTACAGTGCAGGCGCGCGCGGCACGGCGCGAGCCGACAGAGAAGAGGCCTCTTGGCCAGGCGCAAGCACACCAACACATACTAGTCCGCCCCGCGACCCACATGGTATGCCCTGCCAAGTCCCCGGGGCGCAACCACGCGGCACATGGCAACACCAGAATTAGACGCGCAGATGATTTGTCTGAAGGGAGAAGAAAAATGCCGCGCTATAGCCATCGACCCGTCATCCATCAAAAAGAAGTGTCGTGCCGCGCGGAAGGGGGCCAACAGCCTCGAAGCCGCCAAACTTTATAAATGCGCAGCTAAATAAAGTGTCGTTCGGGCAATGAAAGCGCTGCGGGACAGCTCTGGTGACGCGCGGTGTAGCGCCATCAGTCAGCTCTCCCCCCAGGTCAACCCCTCCCGCGCGGTCCGGCGGGGAGTCGCGCCAAGCGGACTGATGCGCACAGTGCACTGCAAGGCACCATCATTACTGCATAAAACGGCGCATGAAAACGGGGACTGAGAGGGCCCCAGTACTCAGCCCTCCCAGTCGCCACGCGTGCGCCCGTACGTGCCTCCCTCTCTGCCTCCCTCTCCCTCTCCCCCTCCCTCTTCTCCTCCCTCTCCTCATGCCTTTCCCCCTCCCTCTCCCTCTCCCTTCCCCTCTCCTCCTCCTCCCCTCCCTCTCCTCTTCCTCCCTCTCCCTCTCCCCTCCCTCTCCACCTCTCCCCCTCCCTCTCTCTCCCTCTTTCCTCCCTCCCTCTGACCTCTCTTCTCTCTCCCTCTCTCCTCTCCCTCTCTCCTCTCCCTATCTCCTCTCCCTCTCTTCTCACTCCGTCCCTCCTCTCCCCCTCTCTCCGCATCGCCCCCCTCGCTCGCCTCATTCACCTTGTCAGCTGGGCCAGCTAGGCCTGCCCGAAGCCGGTCGATATCAACCCCCGGTGGTGGGGGTAGGATGGAGCAGGGCGTAGCGTAGAGGATGGAGGGGTAGGAGTAGGAGGTGGGGCTCGAGCAGGAGCAAGAGGTAGCCGCCCCCGGAAGGACATCGGGAGAGATGGCCAGACTTCAGGTATTGACTGGCGCTTTTTAGTATTTACGTTGATGACTCATTGCAGTGAGTGCGCCACATTTCCTCCCCCCACTCCGTCCTCACAACGCAGTTTGTCTAACTGTTCTAACTGTTTTCTCTGTTGCAGGCCTGGTGCTGCGACCGCTGCAGCTCCACGAGGACTGGGTGCTGCTGCTCTCGTACCCGGGCGAGCTGTTCATGCGCCTGCTCAAGCTTATGATCCTGCCGCTCGTCATCGCCTCGCTCATTGCAGGTATGTGGTGTGGCACGTCACCTTAAGGGGTCGTTCGAATACTAAGTGACTTTTAGCTAGGTGCAAATAATATGGTTTTCCAAAATGATCAGGAACATCATTGGAGTCCAGAGAGACCCCACAATATTTGCACTCCCTGGGTACAAAATATCATGGAGACCTACGGGCCGCAGTGACGGTCCTGATCCTTTTGGGACCCTATTATATATATTCGCACCCCTCCTAAAAGTCATGTGGTATTCGAACGACCCCCAACACTGCGCACCTCGCTGAGGTTGAAGTCGCCTGACGAGTCTCTCTCTTCTTCTTTTTTTTTTTTTTGTCCGACACAGGCACGTCCCGGATGAACGCGCGCATGAACGGGCGCATCGCCGTCCGCATGCTCGTGTACTTCGCGTGCACCTCGCTGCTTAACGCCATGCTGGGCATCGCCCTGGTGCTGGCCATCCACCCGGGCGACCCGCTGCGCACCTGGGACCAGGACGGCATGCCGCCGCCCGACCCCCGCGACGGCCGCGACCGCGCGCAGGTCATGGACGGCCTGCTCGACCTCGGCAGGTAGGCGCGGGGCACGCACGTCGACCATGCTACTGGGCGCCTCAATGCACACACGCCAACCCTTTCATAGAGCACGCAGAGAAATAGTTTCTAGCTATCGAAAATTGCCGTTTGCATTGAGGGAACAAACAAAAAAAAGTGCTAATGGGGCAAATCATTATTTTTTTTCGCGCAAAAATTATACCAAAACTGTTGGCGGTTACACGGTTGTTCCGACCCGTGTATCGACTGCCTCTTGTCCATTACAAGTGAAGCCGGCTACTTTTAGCCTGGCGGGTGACGTCCCTCCCGGGCTGTACGCCGCTGTACGCTGTAACGCGACGCGCAGCTGGCTCTGATAGGGGCCGCTGGGGACCGACAAATCTCACCATCTGCCGCCCCCTGCCCACTGCTTATAACAAACGTCTTTTTGCAGAAACCTCTTCGCAGACAACCTTTTCCAAGCAGCATTCCAACAGGTAATTTCGAGTTACCAAGAACGTAAGCGAAAAAAATAAATAACAAACAACATTCGAAATGTTCGAGCATCAGACTCAGCTTTATAGACGCCTTATCCCAGTGAGAAATATGGTGGTGGGGGGACGACGTCAAACCGACCGATTTTTCAGAACCGAGGAAAGACGTCGGTTGGACGGCGTTCCGTCGCGTCGTATTTCTGCGGCTGGGATCGTGTCTCCCTACGGAGGTCCGTAGATTCATTCGCCCTAGAGGGGTGCGGCGGCGCGTCGCACGCCGGGGGGGTGGGGCTCTCCTTGGTGCTGGTGGGAGAGAGTCCGCCTGCTCCGGACCGTGCGGCGCGGCGGCCGTCGGCCTCCCTGTAGCCTCCCCCGCGCGGCGCGGCGGCGGCGGCGCACGCCGAGGGTGCCCCACCCCCACCCGGGCCCGCCGCCAGCCACCCCGAAAGTACACAGCCCCAGCGCTGCGGCGCGGCACCCCCCCGACACCCGCCCCGCCCCGTCATCGTGCTGAAGGACGTCCTCTCTGTTCCAGGTGCACACGGTGTACGTCCCTAAGGAGGATTCCGCCACCGCGGTCACGGCCACCCCCACGGCCGCGGGGGCTGCAGGATCGTACCCCGCCGTGGCCGCCCTCACCGTGGACGTGGAGATGAAGCGAACCCTGCAGTACCGGTGAGAGGCCCGTGCTGGGGTTCTTCAGTAACGGTGCCGTTTGTAATAGACGTGTTCATTAACTTGCACTGTGTGTTACAATATTGTTTCAGGGATGGAACCAACACTTTAGGAATTATCTTCTTCTGCCTCTTGTTCGGCACGGTCCTCAGCACCATGGGCAGCAAGGGCAAGGTTGTGGTCGATTTCTTCTGCACCATCTATGAGGTCGTGATGAAGATGGTGTCTGGTATCATGTGGTGAGCATCGCCCTGCCGCACACTTCCGACCTCTCCTGGCCCGAACAAAGGCAATGCACGAACACATTACTCACTCGCTTTGTTTCGTAGGTTGACGCCCGTAGGCGTCTGCTCCGTGATATGCGGCAAGATCCTGGGCGTGTCCGACCTGGGCACCGTCATGTCGCAGCTGGCGTGGTTCATCCTGACGGTGGTGATCGGCGTGCTGCTCTACCAGCTCATCATCTTGCAGCTCATCTACTACGTGATCCTGCGCAAGAACCCCTACCGCTTCTACGCCTCGCTCTTCCAGTCCAACCTGACCGCCTTCGCCACCGCCTCCACGGCCGCGGCGCTGCCCGTCTCCATCCGGAGCCTGGACCACCTGGGCATCGACCAGCGCGTCAGTCGCTTCGTGCTGCCCATCGGCTGCGCCGTCAACATGGACGGGACTGCCCTGTTCATCGCCGTGGCCTGCATCTTCATCGCACAGATCAACTACATGACCCTGGGCTGGGGCGACCTGGCCACTGTCTGGTAAGTCCTCTCCACTCTCTTCCCGTCTCAAACTCTTCAGTATAGAGTGTTTCATCTCCGGCCTCTGGCGACTCTCGTGTCTGCAGCCTGACCGCGACGGCCGCCTCCATGTCCTCGGCGAGCGTGCCCAGCGCCGCGCTGGTGCTGCTCCTCATGGTGCTGTCGACCGTCGGCGTACCCGCCGGGGAAGCCTCCCTGCTTTTCGCCGTGGACTGGTTTGTGTAAGTGTCCCCTCCCCCCTCCTCTTCGGAGCCAGTGGTTCTTCTTGACATGGCGAGGCGGCCAAACTGACGGACGTTTTGTGTGCAGTGACCGCGTTCGGACGACCAACAACTGTCTGGGCGATTGCTACGCGGCCGCGGTGGTGGAGCACCTGTCCAAGGCGGAGCTCGAGTCCCCGGACGGCGAGGCCCTCAACACGGCGGTGAGCGGGCGGCGACAGTCCAGCTCTCATTCTAGAGGCTTTCAAACAGACTGCTCACTGATCCCATCCCTGTCCCCACAGGAGTTCAACGGGATCGGGACGTTCGTCGAGGATGGGGACGTGGACTTAGAGGCCGCCCTGGAGAAGACGGCCTCGCTTCAGAACGGTTCTCTGAAAAAGTGAACAACATGAGGCGCGAGTTTCGTGGGCTGTGTACCCCCCAACCAGCGCCATTTCTCTCATCAACCAATTTTCATTTTTCACCGAGGTTGTGCACCTCGCCGGACAGCGAGTGAAAACCTTTGACTGATAAACACATTATGTTTTAGAGGAAGCCACTGGCACTAGTCGGTGTAGTGTGATAGTATGATTGGATTTCCTAGAAAATACAACATATTTGTTCGTATCTGTCGTAGACATGTCGCTGGCGACAAAGAAGTAGATCATGAAACTAGATAGAGTTGATTGTACCCTGCAAAAGACAATACGTGAACTAAGACCTGATTGTACTGTACTGTTGTAACGTGCTGATTTATTGTGATTTCGCTGACTACAATTTATTTACATTTAGATGTGTGTACGGGGAGGGGTAGGGTGTTTTATAAGTAATGTGCTTGACGAAGTCAAGAAAAGTTTATTTTATTATTTGAAAAAGGGTGCTGTGCATATCTTGCATTGGTGATCTGCAGGAATGATGTATTTTATTTTTGGCTCACATTGTCAGCACTGGCTCTAAGAACGAGGATTCCAGTGTGAGGGAAGGAAACAACCCGTATAACTCATGTTCTTCCATTCCCCGTCTTTGAGCCAGTGCTGACGTATAAGAGAGTATACGATTGGGCTGTGATGAGATGAATCGCCGGGGATTCCTTTTTTTATGGCATACCAACCTCTTGAGTCGACAGAAAATATGCCCGCCTTACGATGTACCAAATCGAATTATACGTGCCAGTAGGTTGGCATACCAACCTGGAATGAATCCCAGCCAAGCGGGAGTAAACGCTGACTCATTTCAATCACATTCGGCAGACGAGCAAAGCCCACAAACTGTGGGGAGTCAGCCGGCAGTCGCCAGTCAGCCTGTACGGTAGGCCAAACAGCGCACTCGTGTCCGAGTAGTTGCCTACCCCCCGGCCGACAGGCGCCCCGGCCCGGTCAGCTTTTACCCCCACTTGGGCAGCCGGCCGACTGGTACTAGTGGGCTTCGTGACCCAGTAGCCCGGCCAGTCTGGGAAACGCTCGCATTACGACTGAATCAAGTAGTATTAGTACGTATTTCGTTGAAATACTAAATCGGGGTGTGTTGAACTTTACCTCACTAGACGCGCCTCAATGGCTGAAGTTGCGGCTCCCTAACGTTGTGTCAAGGACCCGTGTTTTTTACCAAAACTGTATCACTGTATTTGGTTTGGTGTCCAGCAACGCGTAAAAGCTGCTGAGCGGGTCATAGTGTCTGCCGTCATAACATTAAATTAGAGTGTACCAATTATTTTTGTCTAAAATTTGAGAGTGATTATCGATTTAGATATAGAACCTATGTTTTCTAGATATACAACTCGAGGCAGTTCTATGGTGCCCAAATTAGAGTTGACCATTCATTGCTTTTGAGTCTTATCTTACTACAACATTCATATGTGATTTTTAAAATTTTGTTAGTTATTATGAAGTGTTTACCAAATTAGAAAAAGAACCACCCTATGGTGAATTTGGTGCTTGTAAATGAATAGATATTTTTCTTAACGATAAAAGCTCAATGTGCGTACCTAGTCACGTTTTTCATTGGGCCACACCAATAAAGAATGTCAACCATTACAAAATCCGTTTATTTTCATTGTTCATTTTCTTTTGAAAAAGGCTTACGACAAAATCCTGATGTTGTCTTTTGTCTATTTTTTGACATGTCAACAGTCGTTTTTAGCAGTCGTTCGGGTGTCGTCACATTTACCCTCTGCTGGTCACTCGTATCATCTAAATTTTATGTAAATTTTCAAACATGGGCGATGTGGTTCCGAATTAAACACACGCTTGCTCGTTGCGCACTCGCTCGCACACAGTGACGCACACACATACTCGCGCATACGCACCACGTTTCAACGGTTAAAACACTTCCTCATCACTATTACCAAAGAGGACGAATTTTCACAAAATACTGTTGCCGCGACGGCTACTGCATAGGGTTCACGGTGAGTCGGCCTCTGGCCACAGACGAAATGGCGGCATAATAAATAACATTTGGGCCCCAGGGGCATAATATGGTCTGTGCGCACTGCACTCTTGTCCCCACTTCCCCTGGCCTCGGCCCTGGCCGGCAGCCGTCTCGTCTCACTCGCGAGCGCGACCCGGCCACCCCTTCCGGTAAGTAGAAGTAGTTCCGGTTCGCCCCGTGCCTCACTCCTCCGTGCACGTCTGGTCCTCGGGGCACACGCAGCGCCGGTTCTGGTGCCCGTCGGGCAGGCAGATCTGGTCCGGGTTGCAGTATCCTCGCTGCCAGCCGCAGGGGTTGCTCACTGAAACAGTCGCAAGGCGAAGTTTAGTGCCGCTACTTGTACACCAACAAAACGTGCTGCACCCAGTGTCAAGAGAAGGTCACAAAACGACCCCACTCACGGGGTAAATACGACTTATTGCAGTATATTACACCCGCAAAAAGGCATGTTTCTCTGACACCGGAATGCATCCCACGCCTGAAATCAGTCCTGCCAGGCGCCCGCATACTCACTTCTCCTACACTCCTCGGGCACCAGCACGAGGCCGTACATCTTCCCCGAGCCCCCGAGCGGCACCTCCTTGGCGGGGCGGATGGCGCCCTCTGGCCGGGACGCGCTCTCGACGCGGTGGCTCTCCCAGTCCGTCCAGAAGTAGTTGTCCTCCGACATGGCGAGGCCGAACGGATACGAGCAGTTCGACACGACCGTCCGGCGCACCGCGTTGCTGATGCCGATGCACTCTGCAGGAGGGGGGAACAGAGTCGTAAGTCTTTCACATCGGGGTTCTATTCGAAATGGTTCGGTTGGATTTTCTTACCGATCGATTTGGTCCCCGCGTCCGCCCAGCAAAGCTCGTCGCGGTCGAAATCGATGGCGAGGGAGTTGGGAAGCTTGACGGCGTTGCCCTGCAGGAACACCTCTCGCTGCGAACCGTCCAAGTTTGACCACTCGAGCTTCGGTGACACACGGTCCCAGTCAGACCAGAACAGCTTTCTGTCGAACAAGAAGGGGAGTTTTTAAAAACGCGGCCTGTTGGAAGACTTTTCACAACACAATTTACAGATCGGTTGGTATTGACTTGCCCTCTCTGCGGATGTACGGCAATGCCTCTGGGGTTGACAAGGCCGTCCCTGACCAGGGTGGTGCGGCCTTTCGTGTCCAGGCTGGCCACCTCGATGGTGTCTTTGTGCGAGTCGGCCCAGTAGATGTTCCTCGACACCCAGTCGACGGCGATGCCCTCGGGGCTCACGATGTTTTCGTCCAGGAACGTGGAGATGGCCGTGCCGTTGTAGAACATGCTCTTGATTGACTTGCTGGCCACGTCGCTCCAGTACAGCCGCTGCTCCTGGCAGTCCACGTCCACACCTGCGCGTCGGAAAAGAGAATAGAATGGAGTCGTGAGCAGAGGGGTCGAAGGTCCGGAGTCCCTGCCGCACAGCCGCTTGCTGCGAGGGTCGCCCCCACGCCGATGCACTCACCGATGGCGTCCTGGAAGTAGTGGATCTGCAGGGGCTGTCCGGCCTCGGAGGCGGTCTGCGGTGGCAGCAGCGGCACCCGCATCAGCGCCATGCCCTGGGCGATCACCATGAAGTCCGACTCCTTCTCGGTGCAGCGGCGGTTGCCCTGCGGGCCGCAGTAGAGCCGCTCCCGCTCGCGCTCCCGCTCCCGCTGGCGCGCGGGGTCCTGGTCGCAGCGGTAGCCGTCGCCCACGTACCCCGGCTGGCACTGGCAGCGGTAGCCGGCCTCGCCGCGGACGCGCAGGCACTCGGCGTTGCGGCCGCAGTCCTGCAGCACCTCGCAGCCCGGCGGCGTGGTGCGCTCGCACTCTTTACCCGAGCCCGAGAAGCCCGGGCCGCACACGCACTCGTAGCGCCGGCCCACGGGCATGCAGCGCGCGTCCGGGTGGCAGTCGCGCGTCACCTCGCAGCCCGCCGGCTCCTCGCGCACGCACTGCAGGCGGCCGTCGCCGCGGAAGCCCGCGCGGCAGCGGCAGTCGTACCGCTCCTCGTGGTCCAGCAGCACGCACTCGGCGCGCGGGTGGCAGTCCTGCAGCTCCAGGCACGACCCCGCTGCAGGGACAACATCGGCCGTGAGTCGCGAGCACTTCCAGAACGATATCAGGAAACTTTATCATACCGTTTAAACTAAAACGCTCCTACGTTTAACCTCAACCTCAAATCAAATTACAGAACCATAAAAGGACGACACCCCAATTCCAGTTCTACTTTTATTTCGCCTCGGAGGTGACCGTCTACCTGCGTTCTTGGAGCACTCGTAGCCGTCACCGCTGTAGCCGACGTTGCAGACGCACTTGTGGGTCAACCAGGCGGCCACGTACGCACACGTGGCGTGCGGGTGGCAGTTGTTGACGGAGTCGCAGGAAACTGCAACAACCATCATTATCGTCAGTCAGCAGACGCGTCTTCGTTTCACGTCGAACCTCCACCACACGACGGTGACCGAAACAAGACTCACTCTCGTACTCGCTCGGCTCCACGGGGACCGGGGGCACGCACATCTCCTGCTCGAAGTTGAGCCCCGGCGGACAGTCGCACATGCCGTCGGCGTCGCACATGACGGGGATGGGCTGCGCCGTGCAGGAAACGCCGTCGCCCTCGTAGCCCGGTAGGCACACGCACGCCTTGGCCCGGCCGCCGGTGCGCTCGTCCTGCGAGCAGGCGCCGTTGGGCGAGCAGTCCTCGGCCACCTGGCAGGGCGGCGCGGGCGGTCCGGACGGTGGGCCGGCTGCGACAAGGGCACACCCAACATGGTCAAGTAGTAGAATTTGCTGCACCTTCCTCGCAAGATTTGCATTCGTGCTACTCACCGTTGTGGCTGGGTCCGCTGGGCGGGTACGTCTCGGAGGGTGGGTACTGCCCCTGGTCCGGGTACTGCGGCTGGTTGGGGTACTGCGGCTGGTCCGGGTACTGCGGCTGGTTGGGGTACTGCGGCTGTTCGGGGTACTGCGGCTGGTTGGGGTACTGCGGCTGGTAGGGGTCTTGGGGCTGGTCGGGCCGGTCCGGCTCACAGCGGTACCCGTCCCCGACGAAGCCCGACAGGCAGAAGCACCGGTTGTCGCGGCAGTCCGCGTTGCGATCACAGCCTAGCTCGGCGCACGAGCGCTGCGCCCCGATGGCTGCGGAGAGAGGAAGAATGTGGTGAGGCGGCGTGATGCACACCCGCAGCGCACCGGCGCGCGCAAGTCGCCGTGGTTGCCTACCCCCGCAGGCTGAGGGCCCCACCAGGCGGCGTGATGCTCGCCCGCAGCGCACCAGTGCGCGCAAGGTGCCGTGGATGCCTACCCCCGCAGGCTGAACGCCACACCCGCGTCGCGTCGACGCTTACAGGTCCTACACACGGCCGGTTGCGCTTCGCCCCGCCCACCAAGTACATGTACTCACGCTCGCAGACGGCGCCGTTGCCGATGAAGCCGGGCAGACACTCGCAGTTGAAGCCGCCGGGGGTGTTGATGCAGCGCGCGTCGGGCGAGCAGGGCAGGCGGCCCAGCTGGCACTCGTCGATGTCCACGCACTCCTCCACGCCGTTCTGCAGCGTGAGCTCCGAGACAAGCTTCTGGTACCTGCGGCGGGACCGTTCGCGTTTAGCAACAGGATCGCAGGGGGAGAGACGAGGCACTTGGAGGCTCGCTTAGTAGGGCACTCACCCCGCACTGCAATGGCACTCGAACGAGTCCTCGGATGGCGAGCAGAACGAGTTGGCTCCGCAGCGGTGGCGGCCTTCGTCGCAGGGGTCAGTCTCGTCTGTGGGCAAAGAGGAAAAAAGGTTGTGGTGTCGAACGGAGCCCGCTGCTGGACAACGGGTCCGAGGCCTGTACTCACTAAGCTTGTTGGTGATCTTGGTGTTGGGCGCGAAGCGCACGATACCGTCGCGCGGTTCGTACGAGATGAGGCTCATCGAGGCCTGCAGCTTGAGGCCCTGCTCGGCGGCCTCCTCGCCGGGCTGCGGCTCGGCCTCCGTGTCCAGCCAGTCGGGGGTGCCGCACTCGGAGTACTCGACGCGCTGCTCCACCGTGAAGCGGTGCTCCAGCGGCGCGTCGTCCAGGGTGTAGGCCTGGCGCGAGCTGGCGTGGAGCCTGCCCGCCCCCTGGCGCGTGAAGAACTCCTCGTGCTCCAGCATGTTGATGCGGGCGCCCGGCGGCAGGCTGGGGGTGGAGCCCGTCACCTCCACCTCGAGGCGCAGCTGGTCAAACACGTCGAGTCCGAGGTAGCGCATGGTGAGGGTGAGCCGCTCGCCCGACTGCGGGAAGAACTGCTCGGCCGAGTGCGTGGCCACGCCGCCCGTCAGCGTGAAGCCGTTGGGGGCGCCGGCCGCGGCCGGCTTGGCGAACATCCAGCCGATGGACATGGCGATGGGGGTGAGCAGCTGCAGCTCGGCGCCCAGCTCGGCCGACACCCCGGAGAAGGCCGTGTACGAGCGGCCGTCCTGCACGAGCACGTACGACTGCAGGTCCAGCGACGTCACGTTCACGTCGTTGATGGAGCCGGACAGGCGGCCCGTGACGCGGAAGGGCGCGCCGTTGGTGAGGCACTGCCGCCCGTTGCCGAAGTGGCTGCTGCGGCACACGCAGCACGCCTCGCCGCCGCGGTCCGCGCACTCGGCCGCGGCGTGGCACACCGTCTGGTCGCTGCGGCAGGTGGCCTTCTCGGAGGGGGCTGCAGGAGGGTAGGACATGGGCGTTAAGAAGAGTCGGGGTTGCTGGAGCACAGAGCGAGGGCGGGGGCGCGGACGTTATTACCTTCCTCGGCGAGGTCGGCCTGCACCACCTGACCGTTCTCCGTCGGGCTGATGCGGAAGATGAAGGCGCCGGCTTCGTTCACGTTGCTCCACCTATAACAGCAGCAGTTGTTGGTTCATGACGTTTCCACAGCGCGCCCGAGCCCCCCGCTGATGGTCCGCTGGTACAACACCTACTTGTCGACGTTGATGATGTGGTCCGTGCCGGAGCCCTTCAGCTCGAAGTGGCGGCCGTCCGCGGACACAAAGCCGGCCTGCGCGCGCGCGTCCGGCAGCCCGCCCTGCTGGCGCGACACGCCCTGCACCCACTGGATGCCGCCGTCGGCGTAGAGGAACTCGGCGAAGGACTGCGTGCCGTCGCTGCTCACCACCACCTGGTACGTGTTGACCTGTGGCGGGAACAGGGTTCGGTCAGGGCAAAGTTGGGAGAGGGAGTGGGGACGGGGAGAGAGTGACGAGTATACTTGCCTTGTCGGCGCCCTGGCTGAAGTAGCCCACCCGCTCCCAGGTGGCCACGAACACGGCCGTGGGCTGGAAGGTGGACGCCGAGAAGGACCTGCGCACGCGCTCGGACGCCCTCTGCAGGTCCTCGACCGACTCGCTCTCGCTGGAGGCAGAGAACAAGTGAGGGGACAGATCAGCGACAGATCTGCGGAGGAGCCGTCACGTGCAACAGTGTGCTGCTCGACTTACTGGAAGTAGACGGTGCCGCTAACGCTCGTGTCGACGTTGGCGTAGAACGGCGCTATCACGGGGTACTCGAGCGGGAACGGCAAGTTCAGGAACTGGGGGATGTCCGTGAGGAAGGACAGCAGCCCGTTCACATTCACCTGAAAGATGGCAACGACATGACATAGTTTGAGTGGCAAAGGCTGTATTTTTTGTGGAACGACAAAAGGCGAGATGTGCTGAAAAATCCCTATCGAAAAAAACAACGATATGTGTTTTTTGAATCGCTCCGAAATAAAAAGTAGAGACAAAGACATTCGAACGAAGGCGGCTTGACCCGTCGATCCGACTCGCTTCTCACACAGGACCCCAGCTAAACTGATGAGATTAAAATGTGTGACATCAGACCCCAGAGCGCTGCTGCGTCTGCACTTGAGCTCGTTACCCAAAAGAACACACACGCACCCGCGTCGGTCGGTCGGGTTTTCATCAGAAATGAAATGAAATTGCGGGTCGCGCTGGTCCGGCGCGGCGGGGCGGCGCGGGCTGCGCGGGTGACGAGATGTTTAATTGGCCCTTCCTCCTCCACCCGCATAATGAGCCGAGCGTGACGGCCGACACGCCTCCTCTCATCTCCTCCCCCGACGACTGTCGCGCGGCGCGGCGCGTCGCGGTCAGGGAGTCAATGGGAGGGCGGCCTAATGGGGGTCGGGGCCGGGCGGCCCGGGCCACAGCTGGGGGACCGGAGCACTCGACTCGAATCCCGTCAAAAAGAAAAAGGGCGCGCGGTTGCAAAAACTCCTTTAGCGCCCGCCCTCGCTCTCCCTCCTCCTCCTTTCTCACACCCCCCGAATAAAATCCTCATCGCCGTCGTCCATGTGTGGACCGGGCCGAGCCAGCCCGCGCTGCCGCCCGCACCCGCGCGCTCGGTTTCGCACGTTTCTCCCGTGTGGTGATTGGGCTGTATTTTGGGACTTGGTGGACGGGACGGCGAGAGGGAAGGGCTGTCATCGACATGGTCGGCGCCCAGCGCTCTAGCCGAGACGCGCGTCGCCTCGCCTCGGGGCGCGCACGCACAACGCGGACCCAAGTCTCACATAAAGGAGTATACATAGCACACGGCTAGAGACAGCAGGGCGGCACGGCAGGGCACTCTCGTAAATAAGGGCTGCAGGCCTGGCGTTTAGGGGACACACGGAGACAGTCGGAGACAGTCGGGCGGGGGAACGACCAAGTGACGAGACGCGCTGCTGGGACAGCAGTGGGACGCGCGTCATGTGAAAGGGGCAAGGCAGGGTGGGGGGGGGCGGGGCGGGGGTGGACCAGGTGCTCTACCAGAGACCCTGAGGGAGAAGATCAGTCCCCCGTCCCGCTGGGAGAGAAATGAGACGGAGATTTGGTCGCAAAGCAACCCTAGGGCTAGCCGCGGCTGGCGCGGGCTCGAAGGTATCTGGTGTTGATGGAGAGGGGTGCGTGCGTGGTGGAGCAGGTGCATCCCGGGGTGCCCTGGACAGACGACAGCACCGCCGCTCTCCGGAGGCTGTGCGGACCGAGCCGCTTGAGGGCGCGGAGCGGGGCGGGGTGGGGCGGGGCGGGGCGGACCGCCGGGGCAGCGTCAACGTGTTTGCGGACGTTTATCTCCGT